GGGGGGATGGGTTGCGCCCCCCCCCCCGAGTCGAGGGAGTCTGAGGAATGATCAGTCAGGCTTTGATGCCGCTGGCCCCTGCCCTGGGTTTCCACAGCACATGAGCGTAGGCAATTACAAAAGTGCTCCTAGTCAACTGTTATTACTCTGTAATGCTCCTGTCTGGGGCAGGAGGAAGATGAGGAGGTGGGGATAAGACAGAGGAAGAGAAAAGAGTATAAGGACAGGAGGAGATGGAGGAGGAGGAGGAGGCAGGAGATTCTGATTTGGTACACGGTCTGTACCAGTCTGGTATGGTACAGGAGCTGACCAACATACATGTCTAACCATGATAATTCTGTCTGTAGTTGTAACTGACAACTTCTCCATCCAATAGCAACAGAAAAGACCAGAAAAGTACAATACCATCTGGAGGTTTCAGCACACAGCACACATGTGGCAAACAGGAAGTATTTGGGAGCGAAGAGTGCGAGCAGGACAGGAAGGATGGGCCCATTATTCCAGTAATCATTAAACACATTTCCAAAGAAGGTCAGAAATCTAGTTCATATGAAAATTACTTCCTGACTCTATTTGTGGATTTAGCAATTGATCACAAAGATTGCATTCTTCTGTTGTAAAGTAGATTTTGGATAATGTTTTATCATTTGGAAATATGGAAATTAGTCATGAACACTGATCTGGACCTGTTGGGCCACAGTAATCCTAAAGGGTTCTTCGTGCCATCCACAGCAACAAAAAAAAGAATAGATAGATAGATGGATGGATAGATGGATGGATGGATAGATGGATGGATGGATAGATGGATGGATGGATAGATGGATGGATGGATAGATGGATGGATGGATAGATGGATGGATGGATAGATAGATGGATGGATGGATGGATAGATAGATGGATGGATGGATGGATAGATAGATGGATGGATGGATAGATGAATAAAACTTTATTAATTCCTCTGGAGTTCCCTTCGAGAAATTTGTGGTGATACAGATGGACAAGCATCAAAACATAATATATGTTTATATATACTGTATATATACGGCTCTAACACCCAGACTTAGACCGGACTTAGACCTTAGATAAGAGGATTTCTATTGGTAGTTCATAAATAAAAATGGCAAATCAGAATGTAGCATTCACGTGATCAAGATGAAAGAGTCCTGCGAGCGTGTTCAAGCACAGCGCAGGACCAACCGTTTAATCCTATCAAATCTTCAAATCAATTTCAAATACACACACACACACACACATACACACACATTTGAAACAATAGACAAGCTGTACTTAATGCTGCAGATCATGCAGCACCGCTGCCACCCAGCCCAGCTCTAACCCACTCCACCTCACACCTGCTGTGTGCCATGAGAGGAAAGAACAACTGGAGGCATGGTCAGTGCCTGTGTGTGTGTGTGTGTGTGTGTGTGCGTGCATGCGTGCTTCCATTTGGTCATTGGAGGCACAACTGCATACGAGCTCTTGTCTGAATGTATGTGCTTGTGTGTGTAAGGAGGACATGAGAATGCATCAGCACAAGGCATGGCCTCAGCTTGATTTAACCCTCCGCTGAATGCCACTGTGACGCCAGTCAGACTTTGTGTGGCCACATACCTCCACTGAAGGAGATATGGAAAAAATCTGTGGACCAGTAAGTCTTGGAGATTATATGGCTCCTCTCCGCTCTGGCCTCAGTACTGACCGTGCCACGTCACTGCAATTTTAGGCTTTTGTCTTTAAGTTAAAAAAAACAACAAAAAAAACACAGGTGAATTTGTCATTAAACGCACATACATCCTAAATGTGTGTGCGTGTGTGTGGATGCGTGTGTGTGTGCGTAGGAAAGAGGGGAGGCACTAAAAAGGGGATTATATGTAGAAATAGCAATGGATCAAGTTAAATTCTACACTGGCTTGATTTTTAATTGCCTCTCAGCTGCAATGGATGGCCACGGCAGCTGTCAGTGTGAACAGCTGCTCGCCTAAAAAGACTGGACACCAGCAACTCAGGCAGGGCCAGAAGAACAATGCCGGATGACTCATATGCAGCCGGTGAAGTATTTTGCAATTTCACTTGACAAATGCACGCAGGATTAGGAATCGCTTTTATTGGAGATACACATCTGTTCTGAGGCGCATTTCCCAGGGAGCTCGCAAAAATGCATTTTCTATGCTGCATGGGCACGGCAGAAACATTCTGCTCTGTTAGTGAGGAAAAGTAAACTATGGCAGACAGTGTTGTTCTTTTTTCTCTCTCTCCATCGTTCAGTTTTGTAAATGTGGAATTTGTGAGTTTACAAGTTGCAATCTACAGCTGTGAAAGAACCAGGGGGTCTGAAGGATCTGACGGAGCACTCTGTATGGATTTCCTGCAGAATATTTTGTTAGACTTCAATTAACTACTGTTGTTTTGCTCTCTCACTCACTCTCCAATAGCCCCAGGCCTTGTGGCTGACTATTCCGCGTCTATAAATCACCAGGATTGCACACTTATATCCCGGAGCGAGCGCGCTAAGCCAGTCTGGGAAGCGTAATCACGCTCACATCTCCTCAGCCTGTTTGCAGCGGCCAAATGATAACCAAACACACATTATAGGGCATGATCCCTCTTGCTTGTGAATTCTGCTCATAAGCTTAAATAGTGACGCCACATGAAAGAGCTCAGTGGTGTGACTCTGTAGTGCTTCGGTGATTGTTACCAACCATAAATAGCGGTGTTTTGGGTGTTTAAACAACAGAACATTTAAAGCCCAAACACACTGAGATTTGCTGAAGAAAGTTCAACGCTACAGGGGGCGGGGCCAGGGTGATGGGAAGTGAAGATCAACAACCAAAACAGAAGGACGTTCCATTCTTATTGCCCTCCTGTTCAGCTTACGCCGGGGCCAATGGTCGGCTGCACTCGTATTCATGGCAAACTGTAGGAGAATATGGGAAGCCTTCCAAGTGTGACACATGCTTTTCAAGCCAGTGAATAAGTAGCATAAGTGTAGTATAAGCGCGGCTGTGCGTGTTTCTGAATATGCACGCATGTCATTTTGCTTTAGTCTTTTTTCCACTCATTGCTTTCAACTCTTTTTTTTCTCTCTTCTCAGAAGTGCCCTACCCAGATATGTAGGAATTAGGCCACATCGCTCACTACCATCCTGCTCTAATCAAAGTGCCGATTCTTGAAACAGACAGCTGTTGTCATGTGCCTTCATTCAAATGGCTATCTGTCCCTGGAGCTGCCCAAGTCCTTTGTTGGTCAGCTGAAGTAGTGGAGGGGACCAGAGTTAACAGTATCTGCCAATTCAAACTCCTGTTAGAGCAGATCTCCTGTTCACACTGCAGAATATCCCACAGGCAAACTGACCAGGTAAGTTTCTTTTGCCCTCCTTTCTGATCTAACACAGAGCATTTACAGATGCACACCTGAAGAATAAGGGTCGGAGTGGGTTTTTATTTTCTCTAACATTTAAGGTTCTATATGCAAAACCAGATCTTGAATGATTTCTATGAATTAAACGTTAAAGATAACTATCGATACAGGTTTCAGGAGCAAGTCGTGAGCACGATCGTAGACCTGGTGGTGTTTCTTCTCTTCTGTGTTATGTATGATGCAATATGAAGACAAAAATCGCAACAAATTGTGTGAACGTGAGAACCATTTGCCCAAAGGCAACGGAATGGGGGAAAAAAACAACTCTATCCATTTCCCAGCACTGGAGGATGAGATTTCCTTACCAAAAAAAAAAATAAAAAATTTGTGTTGAGTATACTTAACAGAAGTGAGTCAATCCATTTTAATTGGCAGACATTTTCACCCCTGCCATGTTCTTTCACGTTTCACTGCCTTAAACCAACTCAAACAGGAGGTGGCATTCCCCAAATGCTTTCATGCTTAAAAATTCGGTTGATCAAATGGCTAAATTTATACTCACAGGAGTTATTGTCCGTCCTGCTATTCCTGGGTCAAGGCTGTCGTCTGGGTGGGCCGCAGCAGAAACAATACCAACTGTTGCTGACTAACCAAGGGACAGACTTCATCACAAATACATCTGGAGGTTCAGTCTTTGTGTGGGCGCCACGAGAGTCATAAAAATACCTGCTGTATGTTTAGAAGGTCAGTATTAGGGTGTCCACTCTAAAAATAATAAAATCTGTCTTCTGCTCTGAGGAGAAAGAAACTGTAACATGACAACATGGGGATAATCGTCAATGTGATCACAACAGAACAAACATCAAACACATCCACCTTCAAATTCAACATGTAATACTTAGATATATAAAGAACTGTCAAACATTGATCTATTCTCTTAAAGTAAACCCAGTGAGACTCAGGTGTCCGCGTCACGTGACCTTCTGTAAACAAAAGAGGTGTCACGGTGCAATTTGTACCTAATTTCTATCAAGCATGATGGCGGATGACTGAAAACTTTGGGCGTGGGGGGGGTGGGTGTTGTCAGGAAAGGAAAAAGGCGAGGCGTGTTCAAACAAGGTTATGCCTTGGAATCATCTTCACGGCTGCTCACTGAAGCTTTACGTTTAACTGTTTTTGCTACTTGATTTATTGGTTGGAAATAACTCGGTCAGAGACAGAAAATATTAGAGAAGTCAAGAAGACAGGGGAGAGAGATTTAACCCTAAAAACACATACACAGGCAGGATTTAAGTCCGAGGTCAAATGGCACTGAACTCTCTCCTCTTAGGCTGAGGATATCAGAGGTCCCTCTGTGGGCTGCTCTCCATTTATTTGACCCACCATCCCCTGTCAACCTGGAATGATCCTGTGACCCCACAGCTAGGGTTACCTGTCAGTTGACTGTCTATCATGAGCACGGGGCTTGATGCTGCGTCAACGTTTGTTCTGGTGGGGGTGTTGTTTAGAAACAACACAAAGAAAGGAGCAGAGACAGAGAATCATTTAGATAGTAAAGGTTTAGAAAAATCAAGGTCTTTTTTTTCAGGATGGAATAAAGTATCGGGAAGTATGAGGCACCGACTGGTGCACTCCCCTCTCCGATGCTGTAATTTAGGTTTGTTCAGGGACAAAGGTGCACAGCAAACACATGCCTGCATAGATACCCACTGGAGTGTGTCTCAGCAGGTATCCCTGCAGCGCCGTGTGTTCTGTCAGCTATCAATCAGGCCGCTGTAAGTGGGATCCTTGAGCAGAGATAGTATCACCGCTGCCCCGTATACACTCACACCACAGTTCCCTTATCTCTACCTAGATAACAGATCCCTTCAAACACAGAGAGGCCTGAAACAGACACACTCACTTTCTGTATTTCTCTCTCCCTCACACACACGCACACACACACATGTTCCAACTGTTCTTAAGGCCACTTCATTTAAGAAAAAAAAAAGCACTCAATTTGTTCTGGTTCCTGTTTAAAATTCAATAAGTGTGTCCGTTATGTTGCGACCATGTGGTGCGAGGGCCTGTGTGTCTTTTGATTTTAATTGCTGATGTTATCAGTCCCCAAAAGAAACACGATACACGTCTCAGTTAACCAATTCAAATGAGCATGAAATTAAACAAGAGTCAGAAGCATGAAAAAGAAAATCAACAGTTTGCCGAAACATTCCCCTTCGTCTTTGTAAACGCCGTTGCGCTGCATTTTAATTTGACAAAATGTTTACGTCAACAGATAAACAGGACGTATGGCTCAGGGCACCCAGATTTAGAATACATGAGCGTCGTAGAGATTCTTCAAATTTTAAGTTAATTCAAACTCGCTACATATTTGCCATAAGTGTGTGCCACTAAGCTGTTTTTTGGTTTGGGTTTTGGTTTGGTCCTGAACTGGCCCCTTTGTCAGGTTTCCACCAGACCACAACACGTTAGGCCTAATAACAAAAACAAGCATCCCAGTATGGAGCTAGTCCCACAGTGCGAGGACTTTAATGAGGAACATGTGGAGCTGCCCAGACACACAGTCAGAGGAAACCCAATCCCTCAGCTCCTCTCCTCCCCCCACCTTCCTTCTCCCTTCCCCCCGTTCTCTAAGACTTTTTTTTTCTCATTCTCATGCTTCACCCTCTGGATTTTATGTTTCAAATCCAATAGTCCACCAACACATTTAGTCCATCTGACTATTTCAGTGTTACAGCCAGATTAGAAAAGAAATATTTGTACACATCAAAACATATTTTTCTAAATGAAAACAAATGATTCTGTTTTTTTTTTCTTTCTCATTTTAACAAGTTACCCAGAAGTATTGCGTCCATCGGTGCTGCTGGCGTGTACATGCAGTATGAGCTGGGCCATGCAATGTAATATGCTAGTAAGAAAATGTAGGAAGATAGAGGTCTGTCTTACGCTTGAAGGCCAGCCTCAGAGTTACCTTTCATGTGCTGAATTCATCTCTGTGCTCCATCCACCTGGTTCAATTAACTGCTCCAGTGATTATTGGCGGCCCACTGGGAAACCATAGTTCATCTAGCAGACAGCACCTTATCGATTTCAGCTATGCCTTTGATTTTGTGATAGTTTTGTTACGTAATACACGTGTGTAGGCAGTGTTTATATTCATCCCTAAAACTAAAAGTTGGGCTTTTGTTCTTTAACTAAACTTTGTGTATTCCTTCTTTAGGAGATGTCATCAGTGACTGCTGACGGCAAATACTATAACAGGTGAGACATGCAATTATCATTTATTAACAATCTTAGAGCTAGTTACTACTACCCCTGAAATGCATGTAATGCATGCAAGTGTTTGGAGGGATATATATGTAACCATAATACGAAGCCATGAAAGGCATCAACAAACCAAACCAAGACTCCATAATTAGCTGAACAAACAGACTAAGGTGAAGCTCTCTGGGGAGATGAAGCAGGCACAGTGGACTCAGTGTAACCGAGGCCCTTAGCTTCAGTTTAGAACAATCCAAATGTTCCACTTGGGTTGAACTGTCTTGGTTTCCCCCACATATAAATAAACCGTGCACCAACGTAGGCTTGTGAAGACCTTTTACATGACTGACAGGCCACCTGAATCACACAATTGTGTGGTTGGAGGAGCCTGCATGTGTGTAACAAAAACCTGGGATCCAATAACTGCCTGGTTAAGTTTTTTTCTGGTAAAGTCAAAGATGAAGACTGAAGGAGAACCACAGCTGCAACGCAAACAAAGCCTTTACATTGAATCTGAATGAAGAAAACCTGAAACATTATTTTTCTTTACCTCTATTCCCATGTACTGTTTTCATTTGTAGCTGGCTGCTGCATTAATTTTATAAACTCATTTGGCACCAAAAGCACTCAGTGTCAGGCTGAGAGCTGGTGTGTCCACGTACTTCATGTGCCTTGCAGATAGTCTGGCCTCACAGCAGCTGTGCAAATGAAAGACAGAGAGCTGCTGAAGGAGTGCGAGAGATGGAAAGTTGGCAACGACAGGAAAAGAGTAACACACAAGTTGCTAACTGAAAATGTAATGGAAAAATCAATAGGACACCGGGATTTGCTGCGAGAGTGCACGTATTTTCTGGGTTTTTGTGAGAAACCAAAACAGCCAGTGACCTTTCCTGTCAGATAAACACATCAGATTACAAGTCGGAAAAAGAATGACTTTGTTGAACGAGTTTCAAATGTAATGTTTTGTAAATGTAATGTTCAAAACCCTATTCTTCTTTACCAAATACCTTCAGCTCCTGTAATTTTATGTATGGTCTCTGTGTTCTTTGTTGTGGATGTATAAGGGGTTTGTCACTTCAGTTTCCAACACATAGGGCCGTTTAGATCAGGTTAGATCAGGTCAATATATATTCCAAGGAAAGATAAGTAGAATTTGTTTTTTTATATATATATAAACAATGTCGTATTCTCTAGAAAAATCTATGAGTTTGCCCTCGCAGCTGTCATTCAAACCATATTATTGTAAGTTAAGGTGAGAAAACAACAGGTGAGAAAATCCTGCTTAATGCTGAAAATACACAAACATTTGTCGTGAGGTGGGAGGGTGTCACACAGGACAGATGTCCCTGCAGCACTTGGTAGTGCTGCTTAGATAAAGCAACACTCTTCCACGGAGCACACATGCCTGTAAAAGGCCTGCTGCAAAGCTATGTTTTTATTTTTACTAAGTTACCCCAGAAACATCGTGCCATTAGGGATCAATTCTTCCTTTCACTTAAAAACTGCTTCTTTGCCTTGTCTAAGGAATGAAATCTAGTTCCTTCAAAAATGTTTTTTTAGTTTTAAGGTGGGAAAAAAACCCAAATGTGTCTATATCAAAACCAGTTGCAGACTTGATTTTGACAGGTTTCACATTAAGTTTGTTTTAAAACTGGATGTTTGCTCTGATTGATTTGCTCTGCAAATAATGTTTGCAGTCCTACGACTGGTAAAATCACTACAAAAATCATTCATCCATGTTTCTAGATTGCCGAATGCAGTCGATGAATGGCAGACTAATAGTGCAGACCTACAAATGTGTGTTTTGAGGATAATCACAAACAGAAAAATCCTAATCAGGGCAAATTAATATCCCCACCAGCCTTACTCATAGAGTCTCTTTAGTCCACTGTCCTTGTCCTAAGTAATTGCCACTACATGTAAATATCAAGTGGTTAGTGAATAATTAGTCTTTCATTGGCCAGCCATCATCACTGGGCCCCAGCTACACTTTAGACCCCTCCCTCGTAGAGCCGCCCTGAAGACGGGGCCCCTTTTGAATGACAGCACTTGGGGAAGGAGACGAATTTTTGTGTGATTTCCCGCAGCCGCAGCGTCGATGAGAAGCAGTAGTTGAACTCCATTCTAACTGAATGGATTGGCATGGGGAGAAGCGGACCTCAAATCACGGCTAAGCGGCAGCTTTTGGACTGTGTAACGTTGACGATGGTTTTTCTCTCGGTGTTATTTCGACCAGGTAAGTTAAGAGTTTGTTAACCCACCAATCTGTTCCAGCACTCGTTCTCTCCTACAGGCAAGCGCTGTGTTCTGTCCCGGAATGGAGGTGGAGTTGAGAAAAAAAGTTAACTTTCCCCCCCTAAAACTCATCCACAAACTACTATATGTTTACAAATTTTTAACCGGACTTCTTTCGTTTGTGCTTTTATTTGTTTCTTTGAAAAGTCAAACTTGTTTTTGAAGTTCGTCGTCCTCATCGCGGACAAAGTGCGTGCTGTTGCTGTAGCAGCGTACTGGCTCTGCCTCCAGCTTGCCTTCGTTGTTGCACCGCCGTGTCCGCTAGCACGAGTTGACTTAGTACGAGTCTTAACTGAAAACAGTATTTACTTAAAACGACATCACTTTGTTATAACCACCGATAGCAATGACGTGTTTTTTTCTAACCACTGCTTATGCTTCTCCCAAAAAGAATTTGTGAAATTCGGGGTTAGCTCAGTGTTAGCATAGCCCGCTAGCAACTGGCTTTCGGCACCAACGGTTCGGGAAAAGAAAACACCAAAGTTTAAAAAAAAACACACAAATGCATTATACAGGACAACAAACGATCGTTCGTTCTGTAAACTTCATATACGTATCCTTTGCACGCACTTTGAGTGTTTTGAGTATTTTTCTAGAGTAGTTGGAGCCAAGATTGTTTTCCCCCACTTCATGCTTCATTTATTAACTTGGTGAGCTGCCATGAATGGGGGTCTTACTTTTTGGCCTGTGAATATTTTAGTCTGCATCAAGACCCCAGCTTACTAACCCATAAAACATGTTTTTAAGGCTTTGGGAACATGAATTTGTTTTTAGAATTATTTCTCCATATAATGTTTTTTTAGGCACTTTAGTAGCTATAATGGTTATGACTATACATGTTTTTCTCCAACAGTAAAAAGGAGAACAAACCTCTGTTGTCACACCAGGATTCAACTTTTAACAATTAAAAATTAAACTTTTGACTAACACTAAAGCTAATGAAGTTTTTTCCCAGTTTGAATAACGTGTGTTGAAACTTGTCTTTTCATTTCGCAAAACATATTTATCTAATTATTATTTTGGCAAACCTGAAATGCATCAGTTGCGACATTGTATTTGGCTGTGGAATGTATCTTTTCTTGAGTAAAACACTGTTAACACTTTAGTGAAAACCGATTTCTACATGTAATACAAATGTGCCAATGTAAAGAAATCTTTGTATGAAAAATCGATCTAATTTAGTAATGATTCTTTTTTTAAAATTCAGATTTCAAGGTTACCTGAGGGAAAGTTTGCTTTGTGAATCGGTGTTATATAAAACAAAGATACGTTACATGTCCATACGTAGCAAAACATTTTACATGTGGCTCTTTTTTCTCTCCCACAACGTTATATCTGTAGTTTGCTAGATTGTAACTGATTAAATTCTAATAGTTCTGCCCTTGTGCATAGTCCTCAAAATGAAAATCAGTCTATAAAGTACCAAATCAAAAATGTCCTAAAAGGAGTTGTGCAACCGATGATGTCAGTACAAGTACTGATTGTTAAGTGTCAACAAAAACTTTCAGACCTATGTGACCTTGCAGATTGGAAGCCTTGTAGAATTTAGAAAAATGATTAAAATGCCTCTGGTTTCAACTTTTAACATTCTGTCCCAGTCTTCCAAGGAGTGAAGATGCAGGATCTGTGTGATGCAATGGCAGTAAGATTTGCCCCAAATGGGCATCAAATATATATAAGTTTTGAATACACTTTTGTCAGTGATAACAGGAGATTTTATGGTGTAAACAGAAATGTCTGCTGTTGCAATAAAAGAGCAGTTTGTTGAAACCGGTTCTGGTCTTCAGTAGACATGATGTATGTAATGTGGAACCTGGCAGATGTTAAACCCCTGTCTGTTTAAAATGGAAAAAGAGACCCAGTCCAGTCAGTCCTACCCAAAAGTAATGCAACACTGCACCAATACTGATGAATATCTCTCATGTCCAGTTGACGTCTAATGGTTCTACCCGACATGGAATATCTCACTTGACAGCGACAAGTCATAAGTGACATACAACAGCACAAGTACTGCCAAAAATGACATGCTGTGATTGTCCAGCTTCCAGTGTGGACTCCAAGTCACTCAACAAGAGTTTCTCTCTGTCATATTCTTCTTGTGATCTTTATGAAGTGATCTGCCCTGGTACACTGCGCCCTGCTGCGCCATGGAGTGTAACTTAATGGACTTCAGTTTACCTCAGTAACAGCCAAACCACATTCAACACCCTCAGGCAAATTATCAGAGGTTGGTTTCCTCCTACAGTGAGGGAACACACTATTTCTGTTAGGGCTAGTTTGGAGGAAAATTGTGACTGACTCTGAATCACAGTATGAGATCGCGGCCTCAGGAGCTAACGCTTTTGGGGTTTAAGAGCTCTCTGGACAAAGTTCAACTTGATAGTGGAAAAGTTTTTATTGTGCCTTCTAATGAACTGAGCTCTAGTGTTTAGTGTAACTTTTTTTTTATGATTGGTCATTTTAGCATAATAGTTGTTCAAAACATACAATGCACCACGTGGCACTCCCTTAACATGATTTCCAACTCTTTCTTTTTCCCCAGCTCACTGCCAGCAGTGTCGAATTCAGCGCTGTAATGCAGAGTACGTAGCTTCTACCTCACCTTCCAGTGGTCTACAGGAAGATGTGACCCATGATGTGGACTACTGCATTGCTTTGAGGGCCTACGCTCAGTGCACTCGGCGTCAGGCACGCAGTTGCAGGGGAGACTTGGTGTACCATTCAGCAGTCTTCCGCATTAAAGAGCTGTTCACTCAACACAATTGCTCCAGTGTTGGGCCCACTTCATCTGCCAAGGTCCCCAGCACGTCCCGGCCAGCTGTGTCGGAGCTTTGCGACTATGAGAAGCGAGCCCCAGTGTCAGGCTCGGCCAGTCAGCAAAAGAAATATGCCCACTGTGGATTATTCGGAGACCCTCACCTACGGACTTTCCGAGATGAGTTTCAGACCTGCAAGGTGGAGGGGGCGTGGCCTCTGATCGACAACCGCTTTCTGTCTGTGCAGGTGACCAACGTGCCTGTTGTCCTGGGCTCGAGTGCCACAGCCACCAGCAAAGTAAGATCTGTCTCTTTATTTTAGGTCCTTTTTTTTACATTTTAGAAAAGAGTGACTTTCCTTTGGCAAATTTTGCCTTTTTTCGAAGGATGACCTCATCCATACTTTCAAATGAGGAAAAATTCCAAGACTCTACCAAGTGTGATTTGACTGGTCATTGTGAGTAGGCTAGCTTAGGGAGCAAGCTCACAGAGTGGAGCACAGCCATAAAGTATCAAACATGTGAAGTTAATCGTCGTTCCATGGTGCCTCTTGAGCCTCCAGCATTCTTCTTGTCTTGGAGCTCCGTCAGATCTGTGAGGGGAAAATAGAGGAGGGAGTCCTTCAGCGGTGTTGAATCACAGACATGCTTCAGCGCTCTACCTTTAACACATGGGTGGTCATATGGTAGTGATTATCTCACTCAAACATTTTCCTCTACCGCCACAATTTGGAATGTTTTTTTCACCCCTCTGGTCAAATAATTAGCAGGGGAAACTTCTTGTGTAAATATGTAATAATGTGGAAAATAAAGGCCATTGGGGCAGGATTTCAGTTAATTAAATGACCAAACCTTCCTTCTCTAGTTATTGTTGTGAGTGAATCCTTTACAGGAACAGTTGGTAAATTCTATTTGTTTAAAAAATTAAACAAGGTTGTATCTATAAATAACTGTAGAAATACTGGAGACAAGTGCAGCCTCATCTTTAGAGTGTGTACTGTCAACAGTGTCCACTCAGATCCACCAGCACTCTTTCATTGTATAAAGCCAGACTAAAGACAGGAAATCATCTGTCACTGACAAAATTCCTGCAAGTGTAAACGTAGCCGCAGTCGCTGCTTTGTCAAGATGTTTTCAAAAAGACCCCAGGTTTTCAGAGCTCATCTGTGAAACAGATCATACTGCACTTCCAGTGTGGAAATAATGGGGGATGCACAGTGAACCAATGTGGTTTTCCAAACAGTTTGTTTGATTCACAGTTCATGGATCGGTGCATGACCAGAGTTATGGCTGTGGTTTAAGAGTTCTTTGTTGTTATTTATGTATATATATTTGATTACAGACTTTGCAATAAATTTATTGCATTAAAACTAGGGTTAGGTACAAATTAGAGTTAAACAGCGGCACAAATTGAAGTTCTGTGTAACTACTAATTAATTGTCATGGCATTACACTAGAGGAAATCACAACAATGGAAAAACCCTGTTAGGCCAGCAAACTCGCGTTTTAGTGGTTTTCTGCTGCCACCTTGTGGCTTAAATGCTTACTGCTCTCATCTATTGGATTTACATTTATGGGTATGACACACAGACCAATCAATGGCACGAAATCTTTTCACACACACTTTTGCTAAATAGTGATCATTGAATAAAGAAGCTAAAGTTGTCTTTTTGTCATTACAGATTACAGTTATCTTCAAGTCCTATCAAGGATGTACAGATCAGAAGGTGTACCAGGCTACGACAGAGGATCTGCCTCTGGCTTTTCAAGATGGGACTCGCAACGGCGGGCAGAGCAGCAGCTTGTCCATCACAGAGCGAGGTGGCTCCGGAGTGGGCCGCCAGGTAAAGATCCTGGCTCGCTACATCGGCACATCCATTATTATTCGACGCGTAGGCAGTTATTTGACCTTTGCCATCAGAATGCCAGAGGAGAACCTGGACTATTCGGAGGACAGTGGTGGTCTGCAGCTTTGCCTGCACGGCTGTCCACGCAATGAGCTCATCAAAGAGCACAGGCTGGGCCGTCAGAGCCAGCAGCCCCGTCTTCAGGGCACCAACACAGAGCTGGGCCCTCTACGGCCTCCTCACCAAGTCTACACGGTGGAGCGAGCTACGGCCAAATGTAGAGAGACCCTGCAGGTGGAGGACGTCTACTTTCAGTCCTGTGTTTTTGACTTGCTGACCACAGGAGATCCAGAATTTTCAATGGCAGCCTACAGTGCACTGGAGGATTTAAAAGCGCTGCCACCCAGCAAACTGAAACAGAACCCCAGGACTCCTGTTCCTTACAATCGAGGAACGTCAAACACGGTGGATAACAGACCGTTGCTGGCACTCCTACTCCTCGTTCTCTTGCTTCTGTGAAATAAAAATAAAAGAGGGTTGTTACAGATTAACATGGAGGCAAACAGAATGTAGACGCGTGACCATCTTGAGGAATGAGTGAGTGGAGCTCACATGTATTTGTTTAATTTTTTATCATTGAATGGTTTTGTCATTTGAAGGATACAATGCTCAAATATAACTTTTCCTGCGATTGCCTTTTCTGTGCCCTCACACATGGGTCACATGTTTTTGAAGAAACAAACTGTGTAGTTGTGTGGTTTGATCTGATTTGTTTGCTTACTGTTATTTGGTTTACATTGTCTCTGAGAGGAGTTTAACCTCGAGATGGGTGAACAGGATGGAATTGTTTTGATTGTAAATATGTAATTTTTTAGTGAGAGAAATGTACAACATCTAAACCATTCTCGTTGAAAGAGGCTTCATGTGGAAAAACAAAAAGATCACTTCAAGATCCTGTACAATCAAACAAGACCAATGGCACTTTCAGGTGTTTACAGAAAGTTTTGTGTATTTTTAAAAATCTCTTCGGATACGATATTTGAGAACGTGCTAAGTACACAGCATCCAACAACGGTGCATAAAAACTACCTATTCATGAAAGTAATGTCAGTATAATTCTCTCAACAGTTCTCATCTTGTGTGAAACACTCCACTTCAAGCTGTCTTGCTTCCAGTTTTAGAGGCTTAAAGAAAACTCACAAATCTTTATATAATAATATATTAAGAGAGTGTATATATGTGTTTTATATTGTGTACATTTGCCTGTGTATAGTTGTTTTTAACTGTAATATGTTTTACATACGCTATGTAGGTTCTTTTGAAACAGTGTAAGAAAAGTAAACTAATATGTGTTGTGTTGTATTTGTAATTTTCTGTATTAAAAGTGTTGGACATTCTGGACTTGCACGCCTGACTTTTTCGGTCATTTCCTGAACATCAGGGCCCACAACCACCCAGCCGCTTTTGTATTGATTTTTATTTAAAATTTACGTTAGCCTGCGTTGTATTTACTTTAAACAAAAAAAAAAAAATCACTTCTGTCCACTCCTCTATAAAACTCGAAAAAATATCACTGGAGAAGGCTTAATGATGAGACAGAGAGCAGAAGGATTAAAAACTGCCACTAAAATGAAAGCTGCATTTAAAAGAAAATCCCAACACTCCTAAAATGAAAGTGCACAATATAAAATAATTATGTGTAATAATTAAATTATGTACAGTGCACTTTGTTGTGTTTTGTTATGCGTGTGACCTCACCTCACACCCACACTCCAGCTGCTGGTCCGTGAAAAAATTGTCCTGAATTCACCCTGGTGCACAAAAAAGCTTGGAGACGGCAGCTGTAAATAGACAGTTGTAATGTCCTTAAATATAAGGTGATAAAGTTTCACAGTAATTCAATGTAGAACTATATTTATCTGATTATTGTCTTGTGGAGCTGTTTGCTGTTTCAGACATAACGTAGGTGTGGAGCTGTGATAAATATTAATGAATCCTTTGTCAATTATTCTAATCTCCACAGTCGTATCAATGTGGTGTAATATTCATCATTCATTAGCATTATGCTGACAGAAGGTACACTGGTGATTAATTGATTAGTTTGACAGTGTCTCCGCTCTAATCTGGGTAAAATGTAAACAAGAATATGATTTCCAATACAGGTAAACATCTACATTACAATGTCTTCTGCAGAGCAAAGTTTTTGTTTTCACTCTTTTTTTCACTTTTCATAATTAAAAGAGCAACCCACATCAACATTAACACAGTGCAAAGCTACATAGAGTTTTAAGGTGAAGGATTTTCTTCTTGTGTTGCTGCTGTACTGCCTCTGTCCTTGTGGGGTCCTCGGCCTATAAGCCCTGACAAATCAGTGGTGAGGCAGGTTTGACAGACTGGCTGCATAGCTGTAGGGATTCTCAGTATGTTCTCAGTCCCCTGAGTAAATGTTACCTCTAACTGCTGAGCTGGCTGCCTGCTTTTGTCTGCCAGAGTGCTTCAAGGCTCCAAATAGGATTTAGTCTGTGGTTATCACCAGGTTAGAGTCAACAACACCTCATGGTGCTTCTTTGCACTGAACAGTCAGCAGCGCCAGCCTTCACTGGAAACCACCAGCACTGCCATTAAGTATCAAACGCTTCAACATCTTTTTTCCCCCTTTTGCTGCTGATGGACATAAAGAGAGTTGGAGTTTTCAGCTGGTTCGCACACAGACCTCTCATGGTAAGCTAATCATTTATTGTTTTTTTACCCAGAAGACTTTTAGGAAACCCTCAAAAATATCACTTAATGAACTTTTCTTTGCATTGTTTACCTTTACTAAGAGGACCCTAAAGGTGTCCTTAATGTGCCTGTCCACATGTGCCCTAATCACAGCCAATGCACTGTTGTTGTACTTAAACTAATGTCAGGTGAACATGAATGAACACATAAATATTGTATGATGTCTTATAAGTACAAAATTAAATGAAGTCCATGTGCAAACTACTGACATATTCAGGTGATAACTTACAAATAGGTATAGTAATATCCATTTATCCTGCAGTAAATGCAACAAATTCACTGGAGAGGTTTGACTCCCTCTGAGTCACCCAAGTGCAGCTAATGTAATGTAGCTCATAATAATCTGCTGACTATCAACTCCTTAAGTAAAGTCCCCAATAAAAGAAACAAATTAGCAATAAGTTTTAAAAAGTGCAACATTAGGGGTTTACACTAAGAGGCTGGTCCACTCCCTCTGCCTTGACTTTCCCTGTAAACAAGGACAATTACCACGCTAATGACTGGAGGAAGAAATGCTTGAGTGATTGATACGCTCGGTGGAATTAGTTTGACATTAATAGAGCACCGGGCGAGATGAATAGGTGGTGGTATGTGTGTCTTCTCTGTGATTGATACTGAGTGGATTGATGGTTGTTTTAATGCAACATGTTTGTTAAACCTAAATGAGCTGGCCTCAATTACTTGAGATAATAAGAAGAAGAAGACATTAAGGTGCTAAAGAGATTTTTAGTTTAATAATATTTCCACAACCTAATCCATTCCATTTTTTTACTGGCGATGGCTACGTTGAAAACATCTTTAATGGGTTGCATTTAGACTTTCTGCAGTTTGTTGACGCTAAATGAAGCACAACACATAAACATGGCATCTCCTCTGAGATTGTTTTTTTTCCCAGTTTCAAGTGTCTTTAAATGAACCCCTGGCATCACTGCTGCACTCTCTGCAGACTCCTGAGAGTCACTCACCCTGTCTGGCTGATGCACGTTGCCTAATGATGCACTCAGAGTCTGATTGTGGAGCTGAGCGAATGACGTCCAGCATATACATACATTACACCCTGTGACGCGGGTCACTGCTTCAGAACAGAGAGTGGAGAGGCGCTCTGGGTCTGGAGTGGGTGGTCTGTTTGTGTTTGTATGTTGCTCTGTCTGTGTTTCAGTGATTACACAGCTGTCTCACCTCACATGCTGTCTTATACCTGACCAAGTCAC